GTGACCACCCAGCCCGGAGGCCTTAGTCATGGTGGATTTTTGGTCTTCGAACACATGTCCACCCTCGAATGAGTGGTCGTTACATGTGACCACCCAGCCTGAAGGCCTTAGTCATGGTGGATTTTGGTCTTCGAACACATGTCCACCCTCAAAGGAGTGGTCGTTACATGTGACCACCCAGCCCGAAGGCCTTAGTCATGGTGGATTTTGTCTTCAGGCACTTGCCCACCCAATCCGAGGAATGTTCGAAACAGGAGGCCACCCAGCCCGAAGGCGTGGGCTTTTCGACCAACCTGCCCATCCCAAGGGGTGTACAAAACAAGCGACCACCCAGCCCGGAGGCCTTAGTCATGGTGGATTTTTTTTCTTCAGGCACTTGCCCACCCAATCCGAGGAATGTTCCAAACGGGAGGCCACCCAGCCCGAAGGCGAGGGCTTTTTCGACCAACCTGCCCATCCCAAGGGGTGTACAAAACAAGCGACCACCCAGCCCGGAGGCCTTAGTCATGGTGGATTTTTTTCTTCGAACTGCTCGAACACTTCGACCTGCCAAAGAGGTCGACAAGGAAACACACCAAAGACCACGAGACAGAATAGTAATTGATCATTTTCGTTAGTCTCATCAAATGCATAGTTATATCGTACAAGATATAAAAATAAAAAAATCAAGCATTTTTTCGACCTCCCTTTCATGTCTGTACACGACGCCCTGAGTTGTTGTTTGCTCCATGCTTCCCACTCCTCACCATAGCCAATATCCAGGTCACCTGCTCATGCATTTTCCTCGACAATAATTCAACAGATTCCATTAGTTGCATTTTATCCACATCATCCAATTTGCAATCCCGATAGCAATAATAACAAAAGACGAATGAATCAAAGCAATCATATTGGTCTATATGCTTTTATACCACACCACAATCTACATGCAAGTCTCTTTACCACGATATGAAATCGCATAATCACCCATTCAAATGTATAGTCGACCAGAATTTTGCAAAACCATGAATTCGACAAGCAATTACAACAAACCATACTGTGCAGTTACAAACAATCATTAAAAGAATGCACCAAACAAAAATTCGAATGAATTACTCTCAATACCGAGCTCCTTAGTCATGATGGCTTGAGACTGGCCAGCCCAAAGGCCTTAACCGTGCCAGATTTTGTTCGAGGCTCCACGTACACCTCATTTTCTGCATTTTGTTAGTCACCCAGATAATAATTCCAGACATATCCACATACACCACAATTTCAGTAACATCTCGCCCAAAAATATTCAAACAATGAACATTCCTCCTAGAAAATAATGCTAACAGACTCAATGTTTCATTATATTGAGTCGGTCGAACTCGATCACTCACAAGAGTTGGGATTAATTTTATACCTGAAGGTCGAGAATGTCACTCTCAATTATCCTACCTCTCTAAAACAAAATGATTTCTGCCTTTGAAATTGCCACCTGCGATCAGCACCATCCAGACTCGTCCCACCTTATCACCCTGCTTTGATGGTTCCGTGCGCGCTCATTGTGTCCTCGAAACTCCACAACTTGTCCGACATAGCTTGTCGAGACTCGGGTTATTTCATTGTTTCCTCGACAAGAATTCAAAGAGATATCATTATCTATATCATATTCATGTCATCCATTTTGTATTTTTTCACGCGAGAAAAACAGGAGATCAAATACAAACATCACCATCTCCTCGATTTAAGACATGCTCGAGCAATAACATGCTTAAAAAATTATGAATAGTCAATTTAAACACAATCACAAGATATCTGCAATCCTAAACCATGACTCGCATTTATTTTCAATCAAATAAATTCTTCGCGAATAAATCAAATAATATCTCCACGAATGAGTCAAACAATATCTCCACGAGTGAGTCAAATAATTGCACGATCAAATCGAATATCACCACGAACAAATCAAATAATTACACGAGCGAATTAGATATCACCACGAGCAAATCAAATAATACTCCTCGAACAATTTAAATATCTCCACGATCGAATAATACTCCTCAAATAAATCACATAATTCAACGATCAAATAATACTCCTCAAATAAATCACATAATTCCACGATCAAATCAAATATGCTCCACGGATGAATCAAATAATCCCACGAATAGATAAGATAATTGCTCAAATGAATCAAATAATTTATCCAATTTTCACTAATTTCCATGCTTTCCAATTTAAATTAAATAATTTACTCCATTTTCACCAACTAGTACGTAACTCGTGCGATGCACGAGATGTAAAATTTGGAAGAATAATATAACTTCCACGTGCATTAGGATCGAAATTGAAATCATTAAAATACATAGGAATATTGTTGAATCATAAAAAGTTCGGTAACAATCATATATTAATAAAAACCTCCTTGTACACAACATTATGA